TTTAGAGTCCCAGCCTCAGAGGAGACAAAACAGCAGTGGATTTATTGATTTATTTACTGTATATTGCTGCTGCCACACAGATCTAAAATAAACATGTGATTTATTTCCCAGCTGTTTACCTTCACAGACATAACCGACTGTTTTTTGTAACTCATGTGTGTTTTTAACGTAAACTTTTGAGTGAATAAGAACTTAGTTTAGTACTCACATGCTGTCTGGTGGCCGCTTTCTGTCCGTGTGCTTCGGATGTGTGCACTCAGAAAACCGTGTATCAGAAGTTTAAACTCGTATGGTTTAAAACGCATTATTTCAGCGCGATAAACATGATAATCAGACCAAAACAGATGTTTTTAGCAGGTCCGAGCTGTAATGGCGCAGCTCTATTTTGGAAAAGGGGCAGGGAGCAGCAGCTCATTTGCATTAAAGAAACAGGCCCGAAAAACTGTGTGTTTCTGCTTCCATTCAAAATAGGCATTTTCAAAATATTATAATAAATGATCTGTGGAGTATTTTGAGCTGAAACTTCACAGACACATTCTGGGGACACCAGAGACTTATATTACATATTGTAAAAGAACGTAAACACCATATGCTGTTCTGTGTCAGCTGCGCCATGCGGATACATTGTTTTTGTTCAGATCAAAGCACAAACAATGTAGAAAACGTATCTGCGTGGTGAATTCAGCAGATCAGGACAAGTACTGAGCCTGTCAGTGGAGATATGTTGCTTCAGATCAAAACCCAGCTGACCATGCTTCTTGTGGGCTCACTGTAAAGGAACTCATTGGATCTAACTGGTTTACTTGTCCAAGTTTCCTATTCATTCATTCATTTTTCATTCATTCCTTTTATTTATAAAGCACTTTACAACTACACCTGCAGACCAAAGTGCTGTTCAATCAACATACAGCTACATACAATACATAAAACACAAACAATCCAAATAAAAACACAGATACTAGCCCAACTCCTTGAAAGCTAATGACAAGAAATAATTTTTAAGCTTTGAAAACATTTATGGATGTAATCTCTCTAATCTCAGATGGTAGGCTATTCCAAAGCCTTGGACCTGCAACAGCAAAGGCCTGATCCCCTTTCAGCTTTAAATGAGTTAGTGGGACAGTAAGAAACAACTTATTTGTTGTTCTTAAAGACCTAGATGACTGTCGGAAAGTAATCAGCTCAGACACATAAGCAGGAGCCATTTCATGCACTGCCACAACAGAACCTTATATTTTATCCTGAAACCCACTGGTAGCCATCTGAATGAGGCCAAGATATGAGAGATGTGTTGACTTTTCTTAGCACTCACAAGCAGCCTAGCTGCTGCATTCTGAACTAGTTGTAAACGTGAAATAATGGTCTGATAGGACCCCACATACAAAACATTACAATAGTCCAGACGAGACAATATAAAGGCATTAATAACTTTTCTAAATCTTTCATCTACAAAATAGGTTTAATCGAGCAAGAGACCTAATCTGGAAAAAACAACTCTTAACCACAGCATTAACCTGCTTGTCGAATTTCAAATCTGGATCGAACACAACTCCTAAATTCCTTATTTGGTCATGACAGTAGGCTCAGTAGGCAAAGAGAACTCCCTAAGGAAGACATTAAGGTAGGAGAGGTTGATGAAGGAGACCCAGAACTCAAAAGGTCACAGGTTCATTCAACCAAGGCAAAGGAAGAGACGTCAGATCGCCTACAAAGGTTTTCGGATTGGAAGAGGGCAGTGCAAGCCATAGCTCGACTCAAACGTTGTGCGAGGAGGTTGAAGGGTTTAGTAGAAAGATCCAACAAAGTCACAACACTTGAAGAAAGAAAGTATGCTGAGCAATTCACAATTCGTACAGTCCAAGAGGAAGTGTTCGGCAATGAAATCAAACCTTTAAGACAAGAGAAGGAAGTTAATTCAAGTCATTCCAATAAGCTGTACAAGTTAAGTCTGTTTATTGATGATCATGATATCTTACGCGTGGGAGGGAAGATTGACACAGGCTGAGCTTCACCCTCATGGCAAGCATCCGACCATTCTTCCTAAAGGTCATCACTTATCTCATCTACTCATAACTTCCATGAGAAAGTGCAACATCAAGGTCGAGGGATGATTTTGAATGAAATTCGCTCCAATGGCATTTGGATTTTGGGATGCAGTAGTGAAGCGTTATCTCTTATCTACAAATGCATAAAGTGTAGGAAGCTAAGAATTAAGAAAATGCAATCAGGAGCAAAGAATGGCTGACCTGCCACCGGAAAGGATAGAAACTACCCCTCCTTTTGCCTATAGTGGCATGGACTGCTTTGGGCCGTTCTATGTTAAAGAGGGAAGGAAAGAGCTGAAGAGATACGGACTCCTGTTCACCTGCATGTGTTCGAGGGCCGTTCATCTTGAGGTACTGGATGATCTTAGCACTGATGCTTTTCTTAACGCACTGCATTGTTTCATTGCGATATGTGGCAATGTAAGTCAGCTGCATAGTGATCAAGGTAGCCTACCAACTTTATTGGTGCAAAGGGAGAGTTTCTGGAGTTGATGAAGGGAATGAACCAAGAATGTGTGAAAGAGCTAGGCTGTACCTTCATCATGAACCCACCTGCTTCCAGTCACATGGGTGGCGTCTGGGAGAGACAAGGGGTGTTTCCCAAACTGAACTTATGGAAGGCTGCATATCTCGACTGCCACGTCATCAAACATCGCTGAAGGCCGTCTCAATCGCAAGGATCCTTGAAAGGCAGCCTTCCTTTCGCGTCCTTCATTCAGCTGAATTTGAAGGATGCATGGGATGTATCCTCCATGACCTTCAATCACCCACAATCCTTTGTACACATTCCATTTCATGAAAATAAAAGTCAGTACTGAGCTTGTCTGAATTTATTATGCAATGTAGGCTAAGACAGAAATAATGTTTTCGGACATGAAAGGATAGATGTTTTTTTTTTTTTGGTGTAAATTACTTACTAAACGCTAAACTGCCAATAATTTAAGCCACGGGGATGATTGTGATTCATTGTATTGCATTTATAGAAAGCAAAATAATATAAAGATTTGTAATACAAAGTATTTTTCCAAAAATAAGTTTTATTAGTGTTTTTGTGCCGTGGATGCAAGTAGCCTACTTGGTATTGAAAAATGCGCGCAGATCTACGTCACCAGACTATTTGCCTAATCTTCTCGGTACTTTATAGACCTCGATGGAAACGCAGACAGCGACAGGTCTAGTGGGGAAAAAAAGTTGCTGGGACAAATTGTTCCTGGTAATTTCGGTGGAAAAGCGGCTATAGTTCTCAGGTAAGCAGCTATGCTATTTATAACAAATCATGCTTTGGTAAATCATAATTATGATATCAAAATTTGAATCTTTTACATACTAAATCATTTTTAAACCTTTCAAACCTTTACCTATCCTAGTAAAGTCACTAATTTACGGCCTCTAGTGGCTACAGTAAAAGAAAACGCCAATTTCGTAGGAGTGACGCGGATGAAGTTTGTCTCTTGCGAGGCGCCATCCTCAGTACCCTTTCCCCTTTCCCTCTCTACTAGTGAGATTTCCCTTTAACTTTTACTTTTTATACGTTTTAAATCCAGTGCCTTCGGTTCGTCATATTGTTGGTCTTCTTAGTTATATTCTGCGTGTAAGTGGCAATGATGTTCACGTCCACCGGTTCGAGGGGATTGTGTAAGTAACGTTACAGCTTAAAATCATCATGTCATGTAACGTTAGATCAGATCCTGCTGTCATTCGTTCAGATTAAAGCATAGTCATCATCGTGACCTTCATCCGAGTTTTATCGCACTTCACACATCATCTTTGCCTTCAAATCATTTTGCCTTGGCTCATGATTTAAGACAGGAAGTGTTGATGTCGTTTATAAAGTTGTGGGCGTGAAATCGTGCGCTCCTGGGGAAATGCGACATGACACACAGCTAAACAGATAGAGACTGCTTGAACTTTTCCTGAAATCACCATAATCACCATCTTCCTGGTAAACACCACCAAAGAGCTTCAGTTCAACACTGACTGATTGTTAATGATGTAATAATGACAATTCATTACTTATCCTTATGATGTTTCAAGCCTGTATGACTTTATTTATTCTGAGCAGGGTTCCCGCAGGTCCTTAAAAAGTCATAAATTGTACAAGGAAGTCATAATTATGATTTCAAGTGGTCTTAAATTTGGGTACAGACTCGAATTGCGATTCAGCTTAATGTTACGATTAAACTTCAAAAGGCTATGATTTTACTAAATAAATATGAGGTTTCAAAGTCCGTGCTGCGCTGCTTTGTGTTCTGCCGTTACCGGGCAGCTGTTGTTGTGAGTAGGGTATTCCTGCAATACCAGAAACAGGCTGTAGTTTCAGGACCGCATTTCTAGGACCCTATAGATTAAAAATATATATATATTTTATTTATTTATTTTTTGTATGTACAGTGCCTATAGAAAGTCTTCATACCCATTCATTTTTCTTGTACATTTTATGTTGCGTTGTTAAGCTGCTTTAAATTACTTTTTTTCCCCCCACATAAGTCTACACCCCACTCACAATAATGACAAAGCAAAACCCAGATTTAGCACAACTTTGCAAATTTATTAAAAAGGAAACACTGAAAAAAAAATGACATTGCACAAGTCTTCATACCCTTAACTCAAAACGTAGTTGAAGCACGTTGTCAACAATTACAGCCTCAGGTCTTTTTGTGTATGATGCAACAAGCTTTGCACATCTGCATTTGGGTTTTTTGACATTCTTCTCTTTAGATCATCTCAAGCTCTGTCAGGTTGGCTGGGGACCATCGGTGGACAGCCATTTATAGGTTTCTCCAAAGATGTCTGATTGGCTCCAAGTCCCAGCTCTGGCCAGGCCACTCGAGGACGTTCATAGAGTCGTCCCTAAGCCACTTCTGCATTGTCTTGGCTGTGTGCGTAGGGTATTTGTCATGTTGGAAGGTGAACTTTCAGCCCAGTCGAGGTTCTGAGCGCTCTGAACAAGGTTTTCATTAAGGATATCTCTGTATTTAGCTGCATTCAGCTTTCCATCTTTTCTGATCACTTCCCCAGTCCCTGCCGCTGAAAAACACCCCACCGCATGATGCTGCCGCTACCTTGCTTCACCGTTGGGATGGTATTATGCAGGTGATAAGCAGTGCTTGGTTTCCCTCAGACATGAACAAGGAATTGAGGTTCATCAGACCAGAGAATCTTTTATTTAGGTGTATTTTTGTAAATTCCAATCAGGGTTTCATGTATCTTTACTGAGGAGAAGCTTGAGTTTGGTCACTTTGCCATCAAGCCCAGATTGGTGG